GACTGAATCACTTGTACACGCAACGTCATTCACATATCAGCTTTCAATGGTTTGCTTACAGCTCCTCAACTGTTTAAGAAAATTTTTGTCGTCTATTATAGACTTGTGTTTCCGTAGTGAATAAATGTGATCAAGGAAATAAAAACTCCTGAATGCACTTCTTGTCGTCAGCGTCACTTACCCGCTGAAAATAAATGTTTTTAATCGATTTTTTATTTATTATGGGTACAAATGTACGTATTCAGAAAAGTAATTATATATTCTGATAGTCCTTCAGATTCTCGATCACCCTGTACTTGTCCAGCCTTGACTTTAATTATTTGTTGACAAACATGGAAGTGCGAATATTTAGTAACTACTTTATTGTTGTTTTCTCTTTGAAAGACGAACACATGAAGTGTTCAATAATTTTTTTTCTTTCCTTTCTGTTTCATAGTGTACGCTATTCACTTGCACCTTCTATCTCAGAGAGATCAAGAGAAGATTCACACACTCGTACACACACTTATTGCCAACATCAAGATCGAGTAGATTGATGCTGGTGACAAGTGTATGTACTAGCTTGTGCATTATTTTTTCAACCTTGCAGATATAGCCTTACTACTTTTTCCGAGTACTACATCTTCATTCATTTTGTATTATATTTCGAATACAACTATACAACTGAAATGAATAATCATTTAACCGTAGGTGATTGTTGGCAAATTGTTTCATTAAATTCAGATCAAGGATTAACTGCAAATCAAATACCTCCTATTATTCGTTGCAGGGATCGTACCGTCTACAATATATTAACCCTTTGACTACCGAATAGTAGTAGTAGTACTCCTTTTCAATAGATTACGTACTAATTTTTATGAATCACATCATGAGAAATATGAAAAAAACAGGTGTAGCTTTTTTAATACTATGGTAGTCAAAGGGTTAAGATTGTTTGGTGAAACCAATGGTGTGGTTGAACAAGATGAACAGGGTCGTAATTATGTATTGAATAACGATGATATACGTATATTAACACAAATACTGTATAGATATCCGGATGAGCTTCTGGCAGTATTGCTAGTTGTTTTAATCAAAGAACTGGTTGTCATATTACTTCACGTACCATTAGAAATTATCGTTGCAGTTTAGGTTTTCATCCATTTCATGCACGAAGTCAACCGCTGATTAATGGAAGGCATGCTGAACAAAGATTAACTTTCTGTATATCGACTTTTTTCAAATTTCTGCAATCGATCCCTATGGCATAACAGCAAGATCGCAAGGACTATCTATAAGTAACTTACGGATACAAACAATAATCAATTATTATGGTATAAACGAAAATGCGTATATGATTTGAGTATGTGTTATGAAGCTGTCAATGTACATATTTGGCCAAAGCATACAAACGGCAAGTGATGATGTAAATAATCCAAGAAACTATTTGCGATTGTGTAAATCACTCGAATTTGCATTTAACACTGAAACGATACCAGTCACTCAAAGTGGTGAATGCGTACTTTTCGTATTGGACGATGTTCTGAAACACAATATGTGTCACATTAGCGCAAAATCGACCTTTTATACGGGAAACAGAATCGGTCCAAATTTTTTTTTCTA